ACATTAGTGTGCTGGGAAACATGTTAATATCTCGATGATCCCTTTAGTTTTAAGCATTTTAAGCGTCAGTATTTGAGGGTTTAAGACCCCTTACACCTGCGTCACGGGCGCCAGCTCGGGCCCCCGGCTGGGGGTTGTGTTTGGGGGGGGTTTGATGCCCTGGGGTGGGCCAGCTCCACGGCACGTGGGCTTGCTCCCAGCCCCCCAGGGCCACCTCGGCAGGACGGGACAAAACCCTGCCCAAACGTGGGCAAAGGGTTTCTGGGCATGTGTTCGTCTCTGTTCTCTAAGTCCTGCTCACGTGCAGAGCCAGGGCATTGAGAATGCATCAGGCAAAATCCAACTGACTCCAACCTGTCATATAAACCACAAATTGCTGGGCATTATTTTTCCTAATGGATGCATGTAATAACTGCGGCTGCCCTCTGTGCAAACAGCCTGGATTTTGAAGGGCAGACAAAGTTTGTTAAATCAGTATGTTTACAAAAAGTCATAATAACTGGAGCTTCTACCCTTTGCTACAATTTATTATCAAAACAAAGGGGCCCAAAATATAAATACGTTGTCTTTAACAAAATGTATTTGCACATATTTAGCATACTTTATATCCAAAGCCTTTCTTTTATGTTCTGCAGTGGGCTGGATTTCTGCGCATCCCTTGTTAGCATCGGTGTCGGGGCCCGCTGGGCCTGCTCAGTGCTTTAGGGAGATGCTGGCAGGGAGAAGCCTGGGAGAACTCAGAGCTAATTCTCCTTTTGACTTCACCCTGGAAAAATCTGAACTGTTCGGAAGGAAACCAGAGCTTGATGAAGCCGGCCAGAGGGCTGACACTGCCCGGGGTCAACCAGAAATGGTTTTGGAGCCACGGGGTGAGCCGCTAAATGGAAAAATTGCTCTTTGCCCTTCCCAGGAGGAATGGAAACACCGAGGAAAAAGGAGCGTGGAGGGGGGGTTGGCTAAAGGATATCCAGCGTTGGCTCTGCAGCGTGGGCAGCCCCGGAGCTCGTGCTCGGTGCTGGGGAGGGGCAGGATTTGGCCCCGCGGGGAGCCCCTGCTGTGGCTTTTCCATTCAGCACAACCCCCCCCCCCGGGACGGCGCTTCCGCCGAGAAAAACCTGGGAAACCACAAAAATAGCAGCCGGTTAATTTATAACCTGTTGTTCTCAAGCGAAATGGCTGCAGATTAATAATGCACAGAAAGGAGCAGGGGCTCAGCCGGCCACCGCAGAGTGGGAATCTCAGGAACGTTAATGCCAGCGAGCTCCACGGTGACTTGTGTCCCTATAAATCGGCGGCGACCTGCGGGAATCAGCCTGTAATTACCTTTCTGGTCCCGTCGCTCTTAAAAATCGCTGGAAAAGCTCCGCCAGACCCAAGCTTGCTGGACACGAGAAGCCTGGGGATTGCAAGGTGTGGTTTCACAGGCCAAGTTTGGGTCGTTGCTTATTTGAAAGTCCTCGAGGATTCCTTGGGGGGGTGGCAGGCAGCTGGGGGGATGGCCCTTTTCCCCTTCGCACCCCCCGGCTGCCTTTTGGCCTCGCCGGTGTCCGTGCACCGCAGCAGGGACCGTGGGAGGGCTGACCTCGTCCTGCCCATACACCGGCTGGGAGGACGGGAGGGTCGAGGGGTCTCTGTGAGCCAGGGGAACGCCCCAGTCCTTCATGGAAAGCAGCCTTGGCCGCGCAGCTCCTCCAGGTAACTCATCCCTGGTCCCAAACCTTTTTCTGCAGCGGCGTGACCTGAACCCTTCCACTGAACACACAGCACCGTACCCGCCGGCGGCTCCCGCTTCCGACGGAGACCAGCTCACCCCTAAGGCGGTTCTGTCGATGCCTCTGGTAACCGGGTGCCCCACATTTATTTAAAAATTGTTATCTTCTGCCTTTGTCACTGCGTTTATGATTTGCCGAAACAGTATTTTTAAAATACTCATTTCCGCCCTATTAAAAAATACACCCACTGCATTTAATTTTTTGAACTGTATCGGGAGATCTGTTAAACAAACCCCGGGGCAGCACCTGCGCTCCGAGAGAGCCGGGATGTTCCCCCCCCCGCCCCTGCCCCGAGACCGAGCACCGGCTCTGACTCTGCACAAAGATCCACGATGAGCCACAGACAGAGGAAACACGTGGAAAACCACCCCCAACGCCCCCCCCCGGGCTTCCCCGGGGCTCGTTGGGTCCCGTGGCAGAGCCGAGGGACATGCCCGGGGCAGCGTGGCCGGGGGGGGCCGAGGGAGCTGAGCTCAGGGTCAGCCCTTCCTCTGGGGGCAAAAAAAAAAACCCATCGAGGGAGCCTGTGCGGGGTCTGAGCCTCTGAATCACACTGTTTGCTCCTGCAACTCTGGGCAGAGGCTTGTGCATCTTGAAAAAGCAGTTTATCCTCGCAGCGCACGTTTTCGGGGAGCTCTCCGCTGTCTCTGGGCAACCGGACCTATCGGCGGTTGTTCTTCCTGCTGCTGTTCAAGATAAAATAGATTTGCTTTTTGTGGTTCGGTCTCTTTCACTTCACAGCTTTTAGTGCTCTCTTGCACTCTGCTTTTATTTTTTTGACATAGTTTCTGTGTGTGTGTGGGGGGGGTGGGGGTTCGTTGCTTTTTGTTGGTTTTAGGTTTTGTTTTGGTTTTAAAAATGAGATCAAATTAGCTGATCATAGGAAACTTCGCCTGCACCCGCGTTTCCTTTTCCAGGGCTAACGGGGCTGGCGGTGTGTCAGACCCTCCTCTCCCTCCGGTGCTGGAACGGGCTCCTTCTTGCTGCGTTCTGCTTCAAATCCCCCACCTGAAGCGAGGGGCTGGGCCCGGGGTGCCACCGAGCCACCTCTGCCCGCGGCACCACGTCGGGGGGGCTCCCCGGGGTCCAGCCCCCCGCTTCCAGCCAGGCTGCTGAGCCGGATGGAGAAAACTGTAGCTGAGCAAAAAAAAAAAAAACAGTTAAATAAAATGGTGGTGGATGCTGCAAGAGAGGGCTCATGCTCGACTACTGTTGCCTCTACAAGGCTTCAGACTTTGACCAGCATGCTACGCGGCTTTTATTCTAAATTATTTAATATTATCTGCAAACATCAAGTGAATGAAAAAAAATACGATTTGGGATTTGTTACGCTTGCTGTCCAAAGCTTATGTTTTCATATAGAAAATGTGGCAATTAGCAGGGGATCTCTGGGGTATCTGAGGTTGGACTCAGTGTGTCGGGCCAGTTTGGGTGCCTGACAGCTCCTCCTTGCCAGCTCCGCTCTCTCTCGCTCTCTCAGGAAATAATTCATCCTTCACCACTGAGCGTTATTCAACTGCCTTATTCTCCCACCGGGCAGCAAACACATCCATCGCTCGCCATTGCTTCCCGTGCAAGATGTGGGCCGCCTTTTACGTGCCCTTTTCTGCAAGCAAACGCCCCGGGTCTGTGCTGCAGCCCTGCACCCCGCTCGCTTTCCAGCTCAGGGGCTCAGAGATCCCCGACGGACGCGTTTCGGCCCGCTGGCCAGTGCGGCTGGCAGATTGAGGCCAGCAAATACCTTCATTTGCTCTCGCCCAGCAGGACCCGACGCGGGGCCGCGGGGCCCTGCGGGACCTGCAACGCGACCGCAGCCCAAACCACCCGGCTCGGTCCCGCCGCGGCTCCTCGGGCACCATGCTCTGCCCGCGGTCTCTATGTGCTCGGTGCAAAGAGCAAGCCCTTTTCGCAGCCCTTTTTCTGCGGGAGCGCCCGCGTGTGAAGTTGGTTCCCGCTCCCTTCTGGGCCCCAGAAGTGAGAGGTTTCCGCGCGGCAGTCGCTGTTGATTGCTGGCTGCCCACGCTTGCGCGCTAATAGATAAAGACGAAGCGACGGTGAGCATTTCCAGTGACATGCTGGGTTGAGAAAATTTAAAGGAAGGTGCTTTCGATACCGCTGGCTGCAGAGCACCGATTTCCAGGTCTCCATCAGCCGGTGACTGTTGACATTGGCTCCCACACCCGGCGGCTCGGGCTCTGCTCCAGCTGCAGGAGAGGTTTACACAATAAACAGGTTTCTGCCCCCGGGCACCCACCCAGGGGACACTTTGGTAAGTCCTTTGTGAAGGACTCCTTCTTCCAGGAGAATGTCCTTTCAGGACAGCAGCCAAGAAAAGCTGTAATTTGAAAGATGGGCTTCGCTGGGTATCTCTGCCCCGTGTATTCGCCAGTGGCTGTTCCTCCGGGCTGCCAGCCTGCCCTGCCGGGTGGTTCTGCTGTAAATCCATTGAGCGGCAAGGGAACAGGCCGGGAATTTGAAATAAGGGGAAAATTGCCCGCAGTCATTTGCCATTTCTCTTCTGAAGGTCACCTGGGAGAAATACGTGGTGGCATTCCACCGGCTCGCCGGAGGAGCGCACCCGCTTCTGTTGTGCCGGGGGGGGGGGTTGGGTTTGCCTGTCGTCACGGTGCTTTCAGCACGTTAGTGGGGTCGCTGCTCCTCTGCACGCATCTGCTTCAGGAGCTCAAAAAGTTTGTGTTAAAATTGTGCGCAAAAAAAAAAAAAAATGATAAAAAAATTGAAATAATGGGGAAAAAAAAAAAAAAAAAGTGGGAACAGCCTTGGCGAGAGGGGCTGTGGGTGGCCCCCTCGGGTGGGCTCTGGCACGGGGGCTTGGCTGTGGCTCCTCGGAGAGATTTGGGGTGCAGGGCCCCCTCCCCGGGTGCCGTCCTGCCCCCGCGCTCGGGAGCCGAGCTGCGGCGCCCGGCCCAGCCCTCCTCTGCGGGTCCCCGGCTGGAAATCTGCCCATAAAATCGGCTCTGAAGACCTGCTGCCTGCCGGCTGGTGCTTTTGCAAAGCGGCTTAACCATTTCTCGGGAAGGCCCGGCACTAAGCGGTGCTTCCCGCGCTCGGATCGCCCCTTCCCCACCCCCTCGTGCTTTGGGGGCTGCGCCGGGGGGGGGGGGGGGGGGGGGGGGGGCGAGCACCTCCGCTCGGCTCCATCCAGACCGTTCAAAATCCTTGCGACGTTGTGTCCCGGGCAGGAGCAATCAAGGAAGCGGAGACCGGTTATTCCGCCGAACTTTTATTCAGGCTGATACAGCACACGTTGATTTGGTACACAGACAAGCTCGTTTTTAAGGCAAACAGTGATCTCAAAATTGGTTTTCCATACACTACAGTTCCCGGAACATCTTTGACAGACGTACAACATATTAAAACCAGTATCAGAAATACTACTCGTAGTGGAATTAAATACATCACATGAAGATTTTAAAGGAATGCAACAAAAACACATCTTCCCACTCAAACACGGAGATGGGAAATAAAAGCTTTCATTTACGGTTAAGCTCTTTGAATTCATTTTTGAAAGTGCGTTCCTCCAGCCAAGTCCTGTTATGGCAGCCATGGCTGGCAAATAGTGCTTAAACTCCTTTTTCTGTAAACAAATTAAAAGCAGACATTCTTTCCCATTTCCTGATATTTACAGTAGCTTCTTCGTATTACCGCGCCGAAAGACGGACAGAACTGCTTTTGTTCCGAACAGAAGTGTCCCATTTCACCGAAACAAGGCATGGCGTAGCATTATTTCAAGTGAACTAGGGTGAAACCGCCGCGTGGGGACAAGGAGCCCGTGTCCAGCTCCCCGAGGACCGAGCAAGGCTCCCCTCCCACAGCCTCGGCCGACGTCACGTTGGAGCTGCTCTCTCACTACGCGCCTCGGACCGGTTGTGTCCAGGGAAGCCCAGCACCCTCCTCCTCCCGCCACAGAAGAGCTGATCCGAGGGCGATGGACTCACTCTTCCCCGCGGATCCTCTCCCGCGCCGGGTCCCGGGGAAGCTCTGTGCTCTGCGGGCGCTGCCGCTGCTCAGAAATGGCTCGACCAAGCACGGTTCAGACTAATTGCCGAGGTCATCCCGACCCATTTTGCAAGCGGCTGGGTTTATTTGTTTTAAAAAGCTGACGTACGTAAACTGAAAAATACCAACCCTCCGGACAGAAGAACAGACTCGTTATATTCCAAAAGAATGATTTTTAAGAAGCCCGATTCCTGCAAGGCACTTTTTCAAAGAGAACGAGTAGAATTTGTGTTTCGCCGTGTCCCCCCCAAAGCGCCGCTCCGCAAAGGGAGCGGGGCTGGCGGCGCCGTCGACCTGCGGGCACGTGCGGTTGTGAGGCTCCGAGCGTGGGGTCCCGCGGCCTGAAGGACCCAGTCGACTCGTAACTGGAAAAGGAATTCGTTTCATTAAATTGAAGAAAACGAGGAGTACTGACAAAAGAAAGGCAGTGCCTTACGAAATGCGCCTCTGTGGTTTTAGGCTGGCTCGTGAATTCAAGTAAGGCCGTAGCTTTTAGGTTGCACTCAGATGCCACCCAGATAAAATTACCTATGCAGAGAGTGGTTCCTCCTGTCAGATCCATCATTTCTGTTTGACTGATACAAAGAGAAGGAACTAGACAACCCGGGAGCAGAACAAGAAAAGTCAGTAGCCAGTTTCTCTTTTGAGTAGGTGCTTTTATAAACAAAGGAAGAGAAGTAAAAATAAAGGTTCTGTGTAAGAAATTCCTTGCACATGCAGGGTTACACTTGCCTTTAAGGCCCCTGAATACGATACTATGCGGTGTACAGCTATATGATATTCTGCGTTTTATTGTATTTGCATCTAATTTCACCCAAGAGGCCATGAAACAGGAGACACTGGAGGCTAATCATCCACAGAAGGGTGAAGAAAGCAAGGACTAAAGGTAGCCCTTCTAAAAATAACCTCCGGATGTGACACAAATGGATTAGAACTCAGTTTTCTAATAAAAGCTGGAAGTTACCTGGGGGAAAGAGCTGACTAACGCACACACTTCTACCCACCTCTTCCAGTCTGCTTTATGTTCAAAATTCCAAAAACTGCCATACTTCTCAGATTTGTCTTTTTGGAGGAAAGAAGAAATAAACTATTTTGGGGCTAGTATTCTGGCCACTTCGTAGGACATTTTAGTGATGAAGAAGTTTTGAGCAGCATCCCCGTTCCTTAAAAATTGCTGGATGTTCTTTTTCTTCCTGGACATGTGCATTTCCAGATAAAACAACTCATATGAAGGCAGTATTTCTGGCTTTGTAAACCTCTGCCATTAATCTACAGGAAGAAGAACATTTACTGTCTCTTACAACCTGTTTATCACTCTCTCCATCTGCTCAAAGTAGTTTTATAGTGTGCTTTGCAAACAGCAATTCTTGTTATGCCTGGGTAATTCACAGGCTGCTACTTAAAAAAAAAAAAAAAAAAAAAAAAAATCATAGATTTCTCACTTGTGCTCTTTGTCCCAAGGCTACATCCTCCTCAGCAGATGAGCTGACTTTAGCATCCACGCAGAACGGGTATTTATCAGGACAAATCCCTGTGTCATGAGACTCGTGCTACCTGCAGTTCTCGAAAGAGAATGATGTACCAACATTGGTACAACACAACCTCTTCAGTTTTAAGCCACTGAAATCCAAATGAAGTCTCTTCGTTTTGTCTTCCTTTAATTCTTGGGGGGTTTGCCCCTTTCTCCCCTTGTCCCTCCAGAAAAAAAGGAGGAAGAAGGACTCTCTAAAGTAGATAATCTTAGTATTAAAATTTGTGTCAGAGTGGGCCTCTTCAATAATTTAATCTGTTCCAAGTGTCCCCTGGTAGGAAACCCATTTTTTTTTTCTAGCTTAACGCAAGGGAATTCCCTCCAAACTCTATTTTGGCCACACAAAACCTGATGTTCTGCAGCTCACTTGTGAACGGCAATAACAACAGAAGGTAGGAGCAAAACCGATTCCCCCTCCTGTATTTGAGAATTTTTGGCACGTTGGCTAGATAATCACTCGCACTACAAGTCCACTCAGTAACACCCCTTTCGGCCATTCACGCAGACGCTAACACGCTACAGGGACCCCAAGTCACGGCAAGGTTCAAAGCTACTCGCTGGCAGCAGTAGTTTCCACGCAGGCGGGTCGATGCCCCCTCACGCCGCCGTCCGCCGGATTTCCTCTGACAAGGTGATGGACCTCTCCTTCCACTCGCTGTTAGAGCACTTGGAGACGGCGCTGGCTGCTTGGCAGAACTTCTGGAGGAGGATCTTCCTGAGCAGCAGGTAAACCCACGGATCCAGTATCTGGTTGAGCGAGGCCAAGCGCACAGCCGTCAGGAAGAAATCGCATTCCTTGTGGAGGTCCGAGCTCTGGGCTTTGCCGCAGAATCCCTTGCAGTGCTCGAACGACGTGTGGCTGAAGATCATCTTCAACATCGTTACCTACGGAAAGTTAGGAGGAGGAGGGGTTACCTGCGTCCGTATATCGCTAGATGTGAATATCCCTAAAGACAAAATCCCAACAAGACATTTTTTTCCCCTCCCTCGTCCGATTCAAACCGTGACCGGAGGAAATAAGCCCTGAGAGAGCAGCTCAGTTTGTGTGTGTGTGTGACGTGAGCGATAAACGCGGTGCTCTTCAGCTCTCAGTCAGATTTATTTATAGATCTCACACTAAAACAAGGCAGCCCATGCTGCTTCCCTGCTTGAGACACAGCAGAAAGCTGGGTGCTAAATCCTCGAGGTTCAAGGTGGTCTTGGCTGGAAAGGGAAATCACCGACCTTGCAAAACTGGCTTAAAGGGACTCATCATTATCATGTTATCACAACTACGAGGAACAGCTGAACAGTTCACGACAAGCACAGCTCTTCAAAGTTACGTTGTGAACAGTAAATGTCAGAAGAAAGAATTTCAAACACAAAAATGTCTCCATTTTTCTTAAAGCTGTTTTATTCCATGATGTCTAAATTTTAGAATTTGGTTTTAAGGTGAGCTATTCTGCTTATGAGCTGAGCCAAATTAAAAGACAAAGGCTTAATAAAGGTGTCTTGGGCTAGGACTCAAAAAAAACATTTTAAGTCAACAACAACAACAAAAAAAACCCCTTTTCCTTTTGTCAAAAGCCACTGAGCGCATTTTGTGTCGACCTGGTCTGTATTTCCTCCCTCCCTGCCCCAGTTCAGCTCCCCGGTGAACAGAGTGATATATTTAGGACTGCGTTTCCCACAGCACCCACACTGGCATGACCCAGACGCTACTTACACCGCGAAATGTTCCACCCAAGTACAAGGTCCTGTAACTGATGTCTCCCACACCTCGGGGCACAGAGCAGCAAGCTCTGGCCTGGGAGCAGAAAGCTACGTGCGGGTTGATTTGGGGGGGGGTTAAATGCCATCGGGCATGGTGGCAGCTTGATTTACAACACCAGTTACACCACGCAGGGCTGTCGGGGTCCTGCCACGGGTATTACGTGGGTGGCACACGTCGGAACATAAGCACAGGCCAGCAAAAGTCACTCATTTATGCAGAAGAGCCGAAGAAGAGGCAGCTTTGATTAATACTTTCACCCTAAAATCAGTACTTTAAGGTAATTTTATAATTTTAACGCAAAGTAACTTGCGCTGCAAAGCGTCAGCAGAGATACGTACGGGCAGCAGGGAGGGCCCGTTTTTCTAGCGGGTTGCTACGAGGCTTACAATCTTTAAAAGACTGATAAACAGAAGACCTGCACCACAGTGATTCAACTGGCTAAAATAACAATACTTTTTACCTCCTCGTTTTCCAAATTAAGACATAAACTTGCTTTACAGCTACGAATGCCACGAGCCTTGACACACAAGGACCCCTTCATTCTCATGTTACAGCCTAGAAAGGTGAGACGCTGCCAGGGGCTGCCCCAGGCTCTGCAGAAAACCCGGGGGTGAGGAAGAGCCCAGCCTGGGGTCTCCAGCCCCCGGGGCGCTGGTTTTGTTATCAGGCTGCCGCTTATTCGGCTAAAAATGGTGAAAAGGTGTTTTTTTTTGTTTGTTTGTTTTTGTTTGTTGTTTTTTTTTGTTTTGTTTTTTTTTTGTTTGTTTGTTTTGTTTTTTTTTGTTTTGTTTTTTTTTGGTTTTTTTTTTGTTTTAAAGCTGGTGAGACTCTGGTGAGCAATGCTCTCATGTACTAATATATAACCATGGGAAATATGAATCACATTTTGAGAGATGTCAGATCGATAGAATTTTCCACGGTTTTGTCGTTACCTGTTCTTTGAAGCCTTCTCCTGTACCCCCCCGCCCCGAGAGCCGCTTGAAAACATCCCACTCTAGCTGCTTCTCTGCATTAGATGTTTGCATTGGAATGTTTTCCTCCCGGAGCCCGCCAGCGTGGGGGGGGACGGGGGGGCCAGAGCAGCAGGCCTTGCGGCACAAGCTGCTGCCGAGGGAGGTGCGAGGAGAAGCCCCCGCACCCTCCCACCCGGCCGAGACGGGACGCGCCGGGATGCTCCCCGGACCGCGCGTGGGGCGGCGGCGAGCAGGTCCCCTCCCTCGATTTTTTTTTGTTTGTTTGTTTGTTTGTCTGTTTTTTTTGGTTTTTTTGGGGGGCTTGCGAAGCTCTTCTGGGCATGACTGGAAGACCTCGGCTGAACCCGCTGCCTGGGAATCCCGCAGAACTGAGCTGCGGTGGGCGCGCGCGGTTCGGCGGAGGAGGTGGAAACGGCGCCCACCTGCCTCGCCGTCCTCGCAGAGCCCCGAGCGGGCTGGCAGCCGGCCCCAAAACCGCAGCCAACGGCCCGAGCGACGAGCCCATCACCCGCAGCCCCCTCCGACTGCTTCGCTCCAGCCTTTCGATGCACCAAGACCACCCGCGCCGGCAGCGAGAGGAGCCGCGCGTTTTTTTTTTTTTCTGGAAATAGAAGCAGTTGAGGATTCCATCTACCACGTCTGGTTTAAATGAAAAGAAAAATAAGTAACCACCGGTAGAACTTTTTAAAAACAGGGATCGATGCAGATGCAGGCAGCATCGTGCCCTGGGGGCAGCCAGCAGGAGCCACACGGCGCTTGCCATTCCCAGGCCTCAGATTGCCTTCTCCCCGACCGGCTGGTCCAGCCCTGCCTTTGGGAACTCTGCAATGACCTTTGTTTTGCCGACTTTGTTGTCTTGGTTTTTTGTTAGGGGACCCACGGAGCTACAAAAATATCAGGCTAATAAAATACATTTCCCAAGCAGACGGCTGCTGCTTACTTTGGGTTTATCACATAATATTCCTTTTCTGGAATATCTGTTGAGCCAGCAATTGCTCTACTGGAAATTTTATTTGTTTGATTATCCTTAGAGGTTGTCTGTCATGGCTTGCACTAGCCTTCTAAATGAATTAAACAAAGACTGCAAAACTTAGAGGAACAACACCAGGTGGAGTAAAGTCAATGGAACTACACAATTTATGCCAATTAAAAATTTGGCTCAAAATGCATATAGTAATAGAGTTGACAATTGTATTTATTCAGTTAGAGTAGATAAAACTTTACTGTTATCAATGAATGTAGTTTCATAATAACATTAAACCTCCACTGCTCTGGTTTTCAGACTTAAGATCAAAGACAAGGTGTGTTTTGTGACATATCTTTGCAGTGTTTTCAATAAAGTTGGATAAAGTTTGAATAAAGTTGACTAAAGTACACAAGAACTTGTCAGGGCTGTTTCATAGGCTCCCCAGCTGGTAATCATCACTGTGATATGTTGCCGCTGGCTTAACTTTCCATGGGCAGCCTGTGCTACCTCACGGACTCCCGGGCAGCTTTACTATGATATTGCAAAGAGTTTAGAATGAACTTCCACTGTAGTTAGGGGGAAAAAAAAAAAAAAAAAAAAAAAAAAAAAGAGAGAGACAAAAACATTCCCCAAAATATTCTTCCAGTTTTATAAACTCTGTTGGAAACTACCGCTATCTGCAGTAAAAGATGGAGAATAAAGCAGCTGATGGGCTTAAAGGTGTGTGTTTCTCAGCCAAGCAGGAGGGGCTGGTCTGGAACGTGGGGTGAGAATCCGACGGGCAGTCCCTGGTCCTGGCCTGCAAAATCTTTTCTTGAGATAGCTTCCAAAAAAACCAAGCCTGTTTTCTCTGCATCGTGACGACAGGAGGGTTCATCCTCTGACACTGCTTCTCTTCCCCCCTTAGCCCTAACCTGTTGCTTAAATCATTCTCTCACAGATAAAGAAGCGAGCCGTAGAAGGAACAGAGGATTTTCCTGATGAAATACAAAGAGCGGCTGTGGAGCGTGAACCATGGAAAGCCACGACGGAGAGGATATGATTTCTCCTTTTAATGACTAACAATACCCATAGTCATGTACCATCGTGTTTTAAAATCAAAATTGTGATTCCATCTCATTAAATTTTCAGGACTCCCTCCCGCCGCCTCTGCTGAGGCAGAATGGAAGACTTGGGTTCGAGCAGGCCAACAACTGGGTTGGTTGGATTCCAACCAGTGTGGTCTAATATTTACCCCTTGGCTGTGACCTTCTTTAGCTGAACACCGGCCAGCAAAATCCAGCCCTTTGGCCAAACTGAAATGATCAGTCCGCTGGGGCAGTTTTGACACAGGTGCCTCGGATGGAGGCAGAGCGTTTGGGGGGAAAGTTACTGATTCATAGAAAAGGAGCCATTTATTTTCCTTGCAGCTCAGTGAGATCACTGTCTAAGTGGAGGTGCTTTTCATAACTACATTTTGCACATGAAAACATATTACAAAAAAATCTATTTTTAATAAAAATACCTGTAAAGGAGAATGTATTTTAACTTCTGTCTGACAGAAAGGTTCGGGAGAAGGATTTTAATAGGAAAAGCAGCAGAATATCTGAGCATTTTGGCTTTAAATAGCCTTGAGACGTCTTGTAAGAGAATAATTTTGTAGCCTGGAGCTCTAAAAGAATTATTAAATTATGATGAAAATTCCAGTTTGTGCTGCACCGGTGTTTCTGTGCAATCAAGGAACAGCTTCCTCTCTCTTAGCTCAGACTCATTCCAGTCTGCTGTCAGTTTAGTTCAATGGTTATGCTCCACAGCTGAGCACCAAAATAAATAGAAGATTAGCGTGAACTGGAAACCTCTTACGATAAAGGAATATCTTATTTAAGGAGCATTTTCCCAGGTTCTCTACGATGCCTCCAAGGAAGATCCTGAGCGCACAACAAAAGGAGGCAATAACTTCCTCTGCTCTACCAAACCCAGAATAAATCAAGAAAAGGCAGGATGCTTCATTAAACCATTTAGAGCACAGCCACTATCGTCAGAAGTTTCACTTTTCTGATAAGCCACATTTTGTCATTTTCATCAGCAGATCAGGTCTAACGTTACTGTCTGTGTAAAAGGGCATTGTTTGCCTAACTGTAATGCTTGTCAGGATTGGTTAGCTCTGTTATAAAACACAGATTTCTTAAATAAACAAACAAACAGACGAAAGTCTCCTCTGAAAACGCCTGGATTCCCGGTCCAACTAAATTTCTTACAGCTGCAAAATGATGCAGTTATCGGTTAAATGAGTTCTACCATCCGGCTGCCAGTGAAAATGCACTTGCCTTGCTCCGTGGTCACTCTTCCAAAAACCAGGCCTCTTTTTCCTAATGTGCACTTCTCGGCTGTGCAGAAAAAGTTGAAGGGGGGGTGTATTAAAAATGCTTCTGCCCTCACGGCCCTGGATTTCGAGTGTCCGAAGACCGGAGGATACGCCGACGAGACGGCGAAGTTTTGCACAACTCCACCCGGGGGAGCAAAGCGCCACGAGGAACCCCCGCACCGCTGCGGATTTTTCTGAGCGATCGGGTTCTGAAGGCGAAGTGTCCCCCACCTCGGGGATTTCCACCCCGTGCCCCGCGGCCGGGGAAGCCCCCCCACGGCCCCGGGGCGGGGGTCCTGCCACCCCGGAGGGACAGAGCCTGCAGCCAAGGGAGAGACTACAAAAGCGAGGGCTGAGAGGCAAACACACTGCGTTTAAGAAATGCCTTCCAGTTTTTCCCTCTCTTTAGTTACAGACGAGCACGCGACGGTTAACTTCTGTAAAATAAAGAAATCCTAACGTCCCCCCTTGGGACTTAACAGCACACACACGTCAAGGGGACAGCAGGATGTGCCACAGCAGTAACGGCCAGGCAAGGTGTCTGGGACACAGGACAGTCACCTGGTTTAATCTAAACGTTTCCTCTTGAATCTAACATTCCTTGGGATTCAGGGAGCAGAACATTATTCTTTGGTCTCAAGCACTCACTAAATTTTCAGTGCAGTTTCATAGTTTACTTTCGTCACAAGCTGTTAATGATCTCTAGAAAGTTAACAGCCTCTGACTTCTTTTTTTTTTTTTTTTTTTGGGGGGGTGGGGGGGTATTGTGGAGATTTGAAGGAATTTTAATTAGTTTACAAGGATAACGTTACTAAATTAAATTGTTTTCTATTTTTTCCTCGTCCCCATTGGCCATTAGCTTTGTCAGCCATTCCTCCTGTCACAGCCCCATTTATGACGGCTCAAAAACTCTCTGTGCACAAGAAGAAAAATCCTTCTCTGGCCTAAAGTACCTTTCACATAACTTCAAAATTACCACAGCTGGCTTGAGCCCTTTCCTGCTTATGGATCCCAAGTACAAACGTCCCCAAAAATCATACTATCCTCTGACAGCAGAATAAGCTGGCTGTTTTAGATGGGGTACCAGACCCCTGGGTGTGCCCTTGTCCCATAGGGCAGAAAGAGATGTGGACTCAGCCTCCTCCACTTCTAAATCCCGAGGAGGGGTTTACCCCAGCTGGACAAGAAAGAAAAGGCGTAAGTGAGGAATAACAAAATAGTGGAGAGAAATGCAAGGATCCTGCAGAAAAACAGAAACACAACGCCCAGAACGCTGCCGTAGATAAGATACAGCGAGCAAGCTGCTGACTACCATAAAGCACTCCCGAAGTCACAAGTCGTACCTTTTCTCACAAAGCACCGAAGGAAGTTTTGCTACAAGGTGGGAGCAAATAAAAAAAATTGTAAAAGGCTGATTCCCATGGGCACAAGGCTCCATCACACCGAGGTCTCGATAAGCTTCCTCACAGGTTCCCCTAAAGGAGGAACGAGCAGGTTGTGGTTTCCCTGGTCTGTACAGCGTGCTGGGGGGAGCCCAGCCTCTGCCCCCCACCCTGGAACCTGCTCCAAATCTGCTGGGGGGAGCCCAGCCTGTGCCCCCCACCCTGGAACCTGCTCCAAATCTGCCGGGGGGAGCCCAGCCTGTGCCCCCCACCCTGGAACCTGCTCCAAATCTGCTGGGGGGAGCCCAGCCTGTGCCCCCCACCCTGGAACCTGCTCCAAATCTGCCGGGGGGAGCCCAGCCTGTGCTCCCAACCCTGGAGCCCCTCCAAATCTGCCGGGGGGAGCCCAGCCTGTGCCCCTGACCCTGGAGCCCCTCCAAATCTGCCGGAGGGAGCCCCTCCAACCCTGGAACCTGCTCCAAATCTGCCGGGGGAAGCCCAGCCTGTGCCCCCCACCCTGGAGCCCCTCCGAATCTGCTGGGGGGAGCCCCTCCAACCCTGGAACCTGCTCCAAATCTGCCAGGGGGAGCCCAGCCTGTGCCCCCCACCCTGGAACCTGCTCCAAATCTGCCGGGGGGAGCCCAGCCTGTGCCCCCCACCCTGGAACCTGCTCCAAATCTGCCGGGAGGAGCCCAGCCTGTGCCCCTGACCCTGGAGCCCCTCCAAATCTGCCGGAGGAGCCCAGCCTGTGCCCCTGACCCTGGAGCCCCTCCGAATCTGCTGGGGGGAGCCCCTCCAACCCTGGAACCTGCTCCAAATCTGCCGGGGGAGCCCAGCCTGTGCCCCCCACCCTGGAACCTGCTCCAAATCTGCCGGGGGGAGCCCAGCCTGTGCTCCCAACCCTGGAACCTGCTCAAAATCTTCCCGGTGCCCATGGCTGTGCCGGGGGGAGCCCAGCCTGTGCCCCTGACCCTGGAGCCCCTCCAAATCTGCCGGGGGGAGCCCCTCCAACCCTGGAACCTGCTCCAAATCTGCCAGGGGGAGTCCAGCCTGTGCCCCCCACCCTGGAACCTGCTCCAAATCTGCCGGGGGGAGCCCAGCCTGTGCCCCTGACCCTGGAACCTGCTCCAAATCTTCCCGGTGCCTGTGGCTGTGCCGGGGGGAGCCCAGACTGTCCCCCCGACCAGAGACTCTGCTCCCCCTCCAGATCTCCCCAGTGCTCTGTGCCACGAGTGCTGCCGACTTCAGTGTCCCTCTCCCAAACCCACGGTCTCCTCGCGTCCTGCCCTTCTGCCCCGTAGAAGACCCTTGTTTTCCTCAAGGTCCCTCCTTCGGACTCGTCTTATTTTTCCAAACACCCTGGCCGTCCTCTTGGACCTCTCCCAGCGGCTCTCCTACCAGCTCCCCACACCTGGCAGCCCCCCGGCTCTGTTCCTGTCCCCCCTTCCTTCCCCCGGGGGCCGTCCCCGGCCATACAGCCCAGGAGGAACCGGAGCCGCCCGGGCTCTCGGGGCCACCCTGCCCTAAGGGTTAAGGGCACCGAGGGGACCTACCAGCAGCGGTGACCAGCAGGCCGAGAGGACGCACATGATCCCCAAGAGCTGGATCAGCGTCTCCATGGTGATCCGCCCCCACTGCTTGCTGGAGCGCGACGCGGTCGCTTTGGTCCGGCAGCGAGACACCAAGGCCTCGATGGTGGCCAGGTTGCACGCCACCGTCACCACGAGGGAGAGGAGCCCCAGGACGGCGAAGGTGGAGGCGAAGAGGAGGCTGCCGGTGAGGCGGCTGTCACCGGTGCTGATGAAGCACCAGGTCCCGGGCCACTGCAGCGTGTACCGGCCCAGTCCGGCGACGGGCAGGAGGGCGAAGGCGGCCACGGCCAGCCAGATGCCGAGCAGCACCGTCTTGGTGACCCCCGGCTTCATGTGGCTGGCGTACCAGTGGGGCGCGCGGATGGCCAGCGTCCGCTCCACGGCCATGGCGCTGGCGATGAAGAGCGGGCAGAGGCCGAAGACGGTCATGCTGAAGCCGAAGAAAGCGCAGAGGCGGCCCGAGGGGTCGACGGCGTCCCAGGCGCGGTCGGACAGGTAGACGGAGATGACGATGGGGCTGGTCAGCAGCTGCCCCAGCAGGTCGGTGAGCGCCAGGGAGCCGATGCACAGCAGGAAGGATCGCTTCCTCCGGCTCTCCTTGGCGCGGTAGCTGCGGGACACCAGCAGCATGGCCAGGGCATTGCCCACGATGCCCGTGCTCATCATGGTCAGCGGGAAGGCCACCGACACGGCGCTGCAGCCTTCCTCCTCCTCCTCCGCCGCCGCCGCCGCCGCCCGCCCCGTCCCGTTGCCCCGCTGCCCCATGGCGCCGGGCTCGGTGCCGTTGGGGCCGTCCCGGCGCTGCGGCCAGCGGCTCATCCCGGCGGGAGGGAGGGAGGGAGGGAGGGAGGGAGGGGGGACGGCCCTTCCCGCCCCGAGGGGAGGCGGGGAGGGAGAAGGGGGCGCGGCCGCGGAACCTCCGCGGGGCCGGGGAGCTGCCGAACCCCGGGGGGGAGGCTGCGGGCGGGGGGACGGTCCCTTCAGGCGGCCCCGGCGCCACCGCTGCTGCCCCGGAGCTGCCGCTCGCCGTCCCTCGGCCCCTCGCCCTCCCCCGGCCCCTCGCCCTCCCCCGGCCCCTCGACATCCCCCGGCCCCTCGACATCCCCCGGTCCCTCGACATCCCCCGGTCCCTCGACATCCCCCGGCCCCTCGATATCTCCCGGCCCCTCGACATCCCTCGGTCTGTCGCCGTCCCCCGGTCCCTCGCCCTCCCCCGGCCCCTCGACATCCCCCGGCCCCTCAACATCCCCCAGCCCATCGCCGTCCCCCGGCCCCTCAACATCCCCCGGCCCCTCGACATCCCCCGGCCCCTCGACATCCCCCGGCCCCTCGACATCCCTCGGTCTGTCGCCCTCCCCCGGCCCCTCCGCGCCGAGGTGGCCGCGCCTTCTCTTTCTCTTTTTTTTCCCCAGCTCTCCTTAACTCCCTCTCGGCGCAGCTCGGGCTCCACCAAGCCGCCTCTCTGTCGTCGGGCCGCGACTGGCGCGATGAGTCGCTTACCTTAAAAAGGAACCCCCCCCCCCCCCGTGACAGAGAACACGAGCGCCCAGAACACCAGCTCCGTGTCCCCGGGCTCCCGGGAGCTCGGTGGGACCCGGCTTTGCTCCCAGCAGAGGGAACGAGTCGGAGAACAAACTCTTTTTACAAACCTTTGTTCCACGTTACAATAATTTCTTTGCTTCTGAGCAGCAATTTCTAACTGTGCTCCATCCACTTGGGATTTAACTATTTTTTTTTCCTGTGGAAGCAGAGTTAACACTTTTAAGAAGTTTAAATGTTTGGGGGTTTTTTTGTTTTTTTTTGGTTTTTTTTTTTTTTTACAGGTTAAAAGTGCTATTAATGAAGTCTAGTTTAAAATACTGCCCTGGTCCGGTACAGCCAAGTGCGCACAGGCCAAACCATGAAACGGGAAGAGCCACATTTCTCGTAAGTGAGAACCACAGTAGAAGTTATAGCTTCCTTTATAAATTATTGAGCTGTGGCTTGTTAATTCTCTGCATCCTAGAACACGTACAGCAATGTCCTTAAATGAGAGAATCTATATTTTTAAGTCTTGTGGATACACAGCAGGATGCCATTTGCAAAGGAAGTCTAGTGCTGGGAACAACGTTCACACTAAACACACAGCTTAAAGTAGAAAGTCTGGAAAAGTATGAGGGGAGAATATCCTTGCCCTTCCTCCCCGCTCTCCCCTTTTTAATTCTGACACCCAGGCACTGGTTGCTGAACTCGCAGGAGCTCCCTGCGCCCTCCGTCCCCCCTCTGCCCTTTGGAAAGCCTTTGTGCCACCCATCTGTGCTGTGCTTGGTATCGGTGCCCCGCAGTTTCACAGTGGGAGCGTTCCCCGGTAGCTCTGCTCTGTGTTATTTCTGGATGGGGTCCACAACCGGCCCATGAGAAAGCATCACTTTATTAGTTCCATTTTCCAAACCAAGTATGAAGCACTCTAGAGACTTTTTCTCATTTTTTTTTTTTTTTTTTCCCCTCTTCTTTTCAAATGCATGTGTAAGCAAGCCCTTTTTCCAATACAAATACTCCTCATTTTGATAATGGGAGGACAGGTCAAGTTAGTAAATTGGGCAGAACTCCACTCAAAGCTGTTGTCATAACTGAACTGTTACAGCAGCATTACTCCCTCCTGTTGCTCCCTGGTCCAAACTCTGGCAGAGTATGCACACGTATCTATACTTTCATACTTAAAAGAAAAAGCAACCAGAAACAACCACCCTAGTAGCTCATGTTATTTCTGATTAAAGAACAAAAAAAGCCCCTTTAGGCTACGGGAATTCTGGATGTAAAATTCTATAACCAGCGATACATTTTGATTACTGCTCCAAGAACAAACCACGGCATTGATTAAAAACCACGAGCTGGAGTTTCTTCCCCCCCCCAAAGGACGCGAGAGGTACAGCACGGGGACTGGAGCAGTCAGAGCCCTGGCAGAGAAAGCCCTCGAGGGGGAAGGAAGGGTGAGGACCGGCCGGTGCTGCCCTGAGCTGGGAGGAGCGGAGGGGATGGGACGAGCCTGCCCCCCCCCAAACCGCCGCTGGCTTCAAACTTTTCCCATCTGAAGCATCTTTTCATCCTGCGTAGGAACATTCGCGTTAGGATCTTAGGAACTCGATAGCCAACTCGAAAAGGACACGAGGGCGAAGCGTTTCCCAAGGGCAGGCGGGAGCAGAACGCCCCGGTCCCCGGGGTGGTCAGGCAGGGGGAAACTTCTACCCCAACCCCCCCATTCGCGTCCCGTACCACCCCGGGCACGCCAAACTCCACTGCCCAGCTCTGGATTTTTCAAAATTTATTTTTAGGAACCCCTTTCTGACACCCGAGAGGCACCAGGTATAACACACTGTTACTATTCAAAGCGATCCTGCCATAACTTGGTATCATTCAACACTTGCCTAGCAGCGCTACGTGGAAATTAGAAAGGTTTCAGGTGTCTTCATCAACGCTAGCAGTCATTACTCTAGTATTGATAAATGTAGTGAAATTGATAACTAGTAAAATGTTATTTACGCCCCATTATTCCCCAAAAGGTGACTGCTGATAGCGCCGCTGAATTTAAAATGCTCAGTTAAAACACCGGCCCGCTGATCAGTCCGCGCCCGCGCTGCAACGTGTCCCCCCCGCCTCCGACAGAGGAGGGCACAGCAAACCAGAAACGCCTGCTGCACTGGGAAGGATGAAGACTTTGCAGCCGAGCAGGCGAAACGACTTGCCCTTGTTCACTACAACCTCAGTGAGGAGAGACCTAACCCGGCGTCTGCTTCATCTCTGGGCCTTCCCCGCGGCACCAAACAGGGGACGGGGGTCCCTTACCCGGCGGGGAAGTGAGAGAGTCTTGTTTTGAGATGCACCAGCCTGTGTATTTTAATGCTTTTTAGTAATTACTTTAGTAATTGACTATCTGAAGAAAAAAAAAAGAAACACTTTTCACAGCGGATTTTACCCCGTTGCCAAATTTATATAAAACTAAAGGCCAGTCTGCTTTTATTTAAGAATCACTTTCTGGCTTATCAATTACTACAGAAGAACGCTTACCCAAACCCACTATTCATATTAATGAAGATATTTAATTTTCCTTAGAAAAGCGCGTTAGCCCTAAACTTAATCAACACTTCCTCCTTTGCCATGACACATTTCACTGATCTTTGATAAAGCTGCACAGAAATACCCGTTTATTTCTACAGTCAGCAATTTCTCTGCCCCCAGCGGCTAAACTGAGGGCAAGGGAACTATTTTCTAGCGAAAGAAGAAAATTCCACTGCTAGGCGACTGGAGGTAGTTGGACACCACCTCCCACCCCCCATTACAGTAAACCCCAAACCTTTTTACGGCCTGAGCTTCATCTAGCTTTGTCTCTTATTGGAGGTGGACCAGGTTTAGTTCTAATAGCTTGGTTATTTATTTGCCGGTCCAGTAACTAAAAAGAGGAATTTTGTGTTCTTTGTTAACAGGCATGCAAAGACTACCACAGTCACTGTGCTGCTGTATTTTAAAATTTAGAAATCAAAGTAACGTAAACATACGGCTTCCTCTAAAATCTTCCTGAAAAGACAGGGAATACATACACACAGAAGAATACACCGTGAAGATCTGTAAAAGCTCATTTTAAACGTGCTGCTGTTCAAATGCAAAAACATTCGCGGTGCTTAAAGAACTGAATCACTCTGAAAAGGTGCGATACGTCCGGCCCGGGAAGCACACACTGCTCTTGCACTGCAGTAAGAGACCACCCCCCAAATAATCCCTTAGCAGAGGCTGCAAAGAAAGATTCGTTTCCAAGAGAAAGCACTCACTGCACAGTTAACTCACAGGTTTTATTTACACTTGTCTACAGAATCATTTTGCCTTACATTTTATCTAAGCCAAATGAAACCATAACTTTCCTTTGTCTGTAGCCTATCATTTGCTAAATTTAAAAACTTTCATCTGTTAAGTACAGCAACGATTTTAATACAAAGCACAAGGAAAAGAAAACAAAGGCTAACAACATAGCATCTATTTGATCTGATTTTTACAATTTAGTAGTTGGACTTTGAAGTCGTCAGAGGCACAGTTACAAGACTAACCTGCTCTTGTGCAATCTACACACATTTAGCATTGAAATTAGATATAAAAGAAAGCATTAAAGAAGAAACTGCAGATTTTTTTTCTGCAGAAAGATTATCAAAATATTTCTACACCAAAAACATTTTGCTTATATAGCAGTCCAAAAGAAGTGTTTTAAAAAAAAAAAAAAAAAAAAAAAAAAAAAAAGAAAGAAAGAGAAAGAAAGCAGAACGTAGTTTTTAAATTTTGCTCCGTTTGTTTTTGTGCAGTCCATCTTAAAAAAGCAGCAAATACGGATTTGGAAATTTTACTTCCGAAATAAATGCAGACATATTGCTGTTTGCTTTCTTCAAAAGAATAATTTTCCTTAACATACTTACCTTGTGATGGCACTGAAGATACTTAAAACCTTTCTTAACCAAACGGAGCTCAAGAGAGACCAAGTTTTAATGCGATATTGCTAGTAAAATAGATTCATTCAAGCATTTTAAGCCATAAATTATGTTTAAGGAAAAAAGAATGATTGATGAAGAACACATTTACGATGTCAGAACTTTCTACACAGTTTATTCTCATTTTTAAATATAAATAAAATTCAGATACCTTGAAAATTTTAGTCAGCCCAAAATGAATTTACAGACGGCCTGCAGAAGCTTCACTTGATTCCGAGAAGCTAGTTCCATATTCCTCCAGCTCAAGAGCAGATCCTACATGACCCTTTTCTAGGAAAGGATCGCAGAGTCCAGGGTCCACGCACGTGGAGA